GCGCCGAGGGCTTTTATTGGTTCCTTGGCGGCGGTGGCGTGCAACCTGGTGACATCGGTCAGGACGCGCTGTTACTCGAGAAGCTCGTCGATGGCGCTTACCAGGCCGTCGATCATGAACTCACATACAGCCACCCGCGCGGCACGGTGCACATCGTGCGCCCCACGGATGGCTTCGAGATCGGCGCCAAGTATAAACTGACGGTCGATCTTAACGGGTGGCAGTCAGGCTGTCAGATCGAGCTCGATCAGGGCACGATCGAGGCCGTGGTGAGCGCTGAGACAGAGATCGTCTCGGTGACTCCGACGGCGAAGCTGACCGCTGGCGTGACCGATCAAAAGGTCGAAGAGATTCGCTTCGAGTCGGATGGAAACTGCGAGGATAACTTCCTGGCCTCCTACCGGGACGTGACCATCGAGCTGCCTGTGGAGCTCGCGGGCATGGAGCGCTCGCTCTTCTACGAGGTCACGGTCAATGGCGAGTCTTACTTCCACGACTATAACAGCTGCTCGTTCCAGGAGATCGAGCCTGGCGGGCTGAGCCCGGATCGCTTGACGACCAGGTTGGCTGCGCTCTGCGAGTCGGTGCCAGAGTATGCCGCGAACACGGCGCTTTCACTCGGCACACACGAAGTGGTGGTGAGCGCGTCCTTGCCAGAGAGCGACGTCTTCAAGTGGACGAGCGATCCGATCATGGTCGAGCTCGATTGTCCCGGCGGCGCTCCAGATATGGGAGGTTCGGGCTCCGATATGGGTCCGGGCGGCCTCGATATGGGTCAAGGACCTGGACTGCCAGACCTCGGCGGTGGCGGCGAGCCAGATCTTGGCGGCGAAGCCGACATGGGCTCGGAGCAACCCGTGGATGATATGGGGACGAGCGAGCCGGATATGGCCGAGCTTCCTGGGGATAACTCAGGAAACGGCGGCGATGGCGGCGGCGATGATGAAGGCTGCGCGCAAGGATCGCTCGGTGCTCCTGCAGGAGGCTCCGCGCTGGTGCTGGGTCTGTTGGCCTTGCTCGGGTTGCGTCGGCGCCGACGTCGAGAGGTGTGATTCGCACGCACGATCGAGCGAGTAAACATGATAAGGCGTCATCCTCTCCAGGAGGATGGCGCTTTATTTTTTGTCGATCGGCGGGGTGTCGGCCACGGATTTGGTGTCCGATTTCTTCTGGCGAGTCATCAGGACAGGTCGCGCCATCCCTTCGTAAAAACCGGACGTGAAGTAGATCTCATCGGCCGCGCTCGCCACCAGACGAAAAGACTCACACGAGGGGTTCCCCGTCTTGAGTTTCATACAAAGCATCGGCCTCGCCTCGCCACTGATGGACGTAAGCTTTAGCTCGCGCTGGTCGAGCAAGAGGTTATCTCCCTTGACCTCGAGGGTGAACTTTTGCGCCTCGCCCTTTTGGACCGAGGGGATCGGATCGCGGCTCTCCCAGGTGCCCTCGAAGGTGAAGTCATCCGGGAGAGGTTGAACCGAGAGCTTCTCGATGCGCGTGGATGAGGTTTCGGACGCGCCATCTTTTGCGGACTGTTTGGATTCACATCCGAGCCCGAGGGCGCCGGCAAGCGCCAGGAAGGTTCCGAGGGAGCTCAGTCGCGGGTTCATTTCTTGTCCGATGCTTGTCATGAGCTCGTGGTCGAAGCCGCCATGCGGCTGGCTCGCGCGTCGGGCGAGGTTGGCGAACACGAGGTGATCTTCGTCGCTTAAATCGATACTGGAAAGCGAGTTCGAGCGCCACCCTCTCTTGGTTGCTCAGTGCGTCTCGAGCGCAGAGCGCTCTTGGGCGTGCGACCTCGGGACGAGCGTGTGGCTCGGGTCCTCTTGCCATCGTGCCCAGAAGATAAGCGCCGTGGCGAGGATCATGGTCATGGCAATGATCATTGCTAGCGAGTGTTTCGCGGACAGTCGCACCTTTCTTGCTCCTCGATAGCGAGAAGTCCCTGGAGACCAGGAGCTTCTTCCCAGGCCTTGGATGCATCAAAGAGCGTGAGAAGTGTGGCCTTTCGTGCGATTTGATTCTGTTGCTCCGGGCAACTGTTTTGTCTGAGAGAGAGGGCTCGTGTAAGAAGTGTGAAGAATGATCGCGTCCCGAAAAGTTCTCATCGACGAAAGGCGTTTATCCAAGCTAGATTGGTGCACCTCAAAATGTATAAAGAGTCGTTTCACCGAAACTAAAAGGAGATATTCATGGCGGCAGAGGTCATTCTTGACAAGGTTTACGAACGCGAGGCGAGCCCCGAGTGGGCCAATCGCATTTGGCTCACGCAACCTGTGGGTGGGGGTCCAGTCAAGGATTACACACACAAGGAGGCCATCGATCGCGCGAGACGCATGGCGGCCTACCTCAAGAGCAAGGGGTTTGAACCGGGCTCCAAGATCGCGATCATTTCGAAGAACTGCGCACACTTCTTCATCACCGAGCTCGCCATCTGGATGGCGGGCTACACGACCGTGGCGCTGTACCCGACGCTCGACTCGGACACGGTGTCCTACATCCTCGAGCACTCGGACAGCAAGCTTTGCTTTGTCGGCAAGCTCGACGTCTGGGACTCGATGAAGGACGGCGTCCCCGATGACATGGAGAAGATCGCGTTCCCATTGGCACCGAGCGGCCATGGCTTCAAGACGTTTGACGATGTGGTCGCAGAGACCGAGCCGATCGAAGGGAACCCGACGCGTGATCTGGATGACATTTGCTTGATCATCTACACCTCGGGCTCGACCGGGAAGCCCAAGGGCGTGATGCACAACTTCCGCGCGGCGACGGTGTGCGCCAAGGGGATCATCGACGAGTATGATCTGACCCCCGAGGATCGTTGCCTCTCGTACCTGCCGCTCGCGCACATCTTCGAGCGCGCCTTTATCGCGTGCGTGTCGTACTACGGCGGCGGGAGGATCTTCTTCGCCGAGTCGATCGACACGTTCGTGCAGGATCTCCAGCGCGCCACGCCGACGTTCTTCATCTCGGTGCCGAGGCTCTGGCTCAAGTTCCAGCTCGGCGTCTTCAAGAAGATGCCACCGGAGCGTCTCGACTTCCTGCTCAAGATCCCGATCGTCAACAACATCATCCGCAAGAAGATCCTCACGGGTCTCGGTCTCGAGCACGTGCGCCTCGCTGGCTCCGGCTCGGCGCCGATCCCAGCCGATCTCATCGCGTGGTATCGCAAGCTCGGCCTGAACCTGATGGAAGGTTACGCGATGAGCGAGGACTTCGCTTACTCGCACCGCTCCACGCTCGAGTACAACGAGCCAGGTTACGTCGGCACGCCGTTCAAGGGCGTGGATGTGCGCATCTCGGATGAGGGCGAGATCCAGATCAAGAGCCCTGGCGCCATGGTCGGCTATTACAAAGAGCCGGAGATGACCAAGGAGGCCTTCACCGAGGATGGGTACTTCAAGACGGGCGATCGCGGTGAGCGAAAGCCCAACGGGATGCTCAAGATCACGGGCCGCGTCAAAGAGATCTTCAAGACGGCAAAGGGCAAGTACATCGCCCCGGCAAAGATCGAGAACCACCTCAACAACGACTCCAACATCGAGCTCTCCTGCGTCTCGGGCGTGGGTCGCCCACAACCCTACGCGCAGATCGTGTTGTCGGAGGATCTTCGCGACAAGATCGGCGAAGCGGGCGTCAAGGAGCGCGTCGACAAGGAACTCCACGAGCTTCTGACCGAGCTCAACGGGAAGCTCTCCTCTGTGGAGAAGCTCCAGTTCCTCGTGGTCGTCAAGGAAGCCTGGGACATCGAGAACGGCTTCCTCACACCAACCATGAAGATTCGCCGTGGCGCCATCGAGGACGCCACCGAGAAGTTCGTCGACGGTTGGTACGATAACCCAGACAAGGTCATCTGGCTCTGATGCCTTCTTCGCAGCGGTGAGTTCTTTTGCCGCTGCGCTCGAGGCTTTCTCGGCCCGGTGCCAATCAAGCAAACCCAAAGCGGCGAGGAGCCTGTCATCGATGACGAGCTCCTGTAAGTCAGGCGAAACGCTGCCAGTGAGGATTTGGCGCCAAACGCGTGGGAGCGCCTCCAGCGGTGAAGATGCAAAGGCTCTGGTGTGATGGCGCGCCGATGGCGCGCGCTCTGATCTGGCTACGAAGTACTCGAAAGGAAGGGCGGCAGCGACCGCTGCGCATGGCGTGTGCGCCAAGGCTCGACTGCTCTTGCTTCGCTTCGTTTGTCTCCCATTGGCGCCCCCGCCACGCTTGCTCCCTCACCGCGTCTTTCTTCTGCTCGGTGGGGGGCTCCGTCGCATGCAAAACGCAAAGCTTCGGTGAGGTTGCCTGAGTTCTGTTTTCCTCAGTGCAAAACTCGACCCTTCGGTGGAGCACCCAAAGTCCCCCCTGCATAGTTCCGCGAACGAAGTGAAGCGGATGGTCGTGTTTATTTTTCAGAGAGCGAAGCGGTGAAAAATGAGCGCGAATGCAGAATTGGGGGATTGAGGGGGGACAAGAAACAAGCGCAATAAATTCCTGCCAGATTTGCCGATCATGTCAGGATCTTGCAGGATTTTCGGCACTACGGAAAGGTAGTTGCGAATGCACTAATTTGTGATGAACCCCTTGATTTATCAGCATGAACGTCGAGTTTTAAGAGGACTCGAGTTTTATGGCTCGTGGTTTGCAGTAAGAAAAGACGCCGCCAGAATCTGGCCAACCGACAGTCAGATGATAAAATCTTAACTGTGGTCAGTCTGGCAACCGCTTGAACCTGTGGGGTGATCGAGCCGTTCTCACAAAAAGCACGAGGCTGTTTGTGAGGGCGGTGAGGTGAAGTCAGGGCAGCGAGAACGTCGTGGGGTGTGGAGACCGAACCTTGGTCTCGTGTGCACCTCACAGGAGAATGTTCTTAAGATCGCCTGGAGGCGATCGCGAATTCCGCTCGGACGAGCCGGGCACTGTTGCTGGCTTGGTCGAGAAAGAGGGAGCTCCGGATGCAAGAGGAAAAAGATCTCTTTACAGCCTTGAGCAAGATGTCTGCCTTGCTCGCGCACGAGATGCGCAATCCGTTGACGGCTGCAATGGGTCAAGCCGAGCTCTTGCTCTCTGTGCTGCCCGATGGTCACGTGCGCGACAAGATTCACTCCATCTTCACAGAACTCAATCGCCTCAACCGCATGTCCGAGTCGCTGCTCGATTTCATCGGCTCGCGGCAGGTCGAGCGCGCCGAGAACGAGCTCGCCGAGTTGATCTTCGAGCTCGAGGCGCTCATCGACGATCCACGCCTGGTGATCCTTCACGAGAGGAAGCCAGCGCGCTGGTGGTTCGACACCACCATGCTCGCCTGCGCCGTCAAAAACATCGCCGCCAACGCGCTCGCCTTCTCCGACCCCGAGATGCCCGTCGAGGTGACTATCGCACAGGATGGCGATGTGTTATCGATCGCGGTGCGTGACTTTGGTGAAGGTTTCCCCGAAGATATCGACATCTTCGAGCCGTTCGTGACGACCCAGTTTCAGGGCACGGGGCTCGGGATGGCGATCTCCTCCGAGATCGTCGAAGCGCATGGTGGCGTGATCGAAGCAGAGGATCACCCCGATGGCGGCGCGATCATTCATGGGCTGGGCGACTCGTGAAGGCCTCAAAGATCTGACCCGTCACGAGGTCACCACAGCGAGTAACGGAAAGGAAGCCCTCGAAGCCCTCGAGGAGCGCTCCTTCGATGTCCTTATTACAGATCTGAAAATGCCTCACGTCGGAGGGATCGAGCTGGCCACCAAGGCCAAGGAGATCCTCCCCGATATGCAGCTCATCATCATGACCGCCTATGGCAGCGTGCAGACCGCGGTGCAGGCGATGAAGATGGGCGCGCTCGATTACCTGCAGAAGCCGCTCAAGTTGAGCGAGCTTCGCGCGCTGGTACGTCGCGCAGAGGAGCGCGCGCGCATCGCGCGCACCGAGGAGCCCGCGGTCACGCTCGAGATGGCAGATCTCTCGATCCAGCTCAGCTGGGGCGCGCCGTCGATGGACCCCGTCCTGAGCGCCATCGAGCGCGTCTCTCCGACCAATGCTTCGGTCTTGCTGTGCGGTGAGTCTGGCGTCGGCAAGGATGTCTTCGCCTCGGTGATTCACGAGCTGAGCAAGCGACACGAGCGCCCCTTCCTGGCCATCAACTGCGCCTCGATCTCGGAGTCGTTGAGCGAGTCCGAGTTGTTTGGCCACGAGCGCGGCGCCTTCACTGGCGCCAACGCCTCGCACTCCGGCCTCATCGAAGAAGCTGACGGTGGCACGCTGTTCCTCGACGAGCTCGGCTCGCTGCACCCTCAGCTCCAGGCGAAGTTGCTCCGCGTGCTCGAATCGAGGACGTATCGCCGCGTCGGCTCGAGTGAGATCCGAAAGGCCAACGTGCGTTGGATCGCGGCGACCAACCAGAACCTTCGCCACATGGTCGAGATCGGCTCCTTTCGAAAGGACCTCTACCACCGGTTGGCGGTCTTCCCGATCATGATCCCGCCCTTGCGCGCGCGACGCGATGACATCGGACCGCTCGCCAAGGCGCTGCTCTCGAAGATCGCGTTGGATATGGGCCGAGAGGGTCTCAAGGTCTCGAACGCTGCGCTCGATGATTTGCAGCGCTATGATTGGCCTGGAAACGTGCGCGAGCTTCGCAACACGCTCGAGCGCGCCGTCATCCTCTGCGATGGCGATGTCGTCGATCGCGAGCACTTCCAACTCTCCCAACGCCTCGCAGATATCGATGACGAGCTCGAGTATATCGATGGCAAGGAGGGCGAAGGCAGCAGCGGTGGCGGAGAACAACTCCTCGACCTCTCGCTCTACGAGCTCGAGAAGCGCGCGCTCGAACACGCGCTCGCCAAGCATGACAGCCGCAAGGCGGCCGCCGAGCACCTCGGGATCCCCGTGCGCTCGCTCTACAACAAGATCAAGCGCTTCGAGCTCGATTAAGACGGTGCGCCAGTCTTGCCGATCGCTGTGCTAGATTTTCATGTTCGGCGCGGCAACCTCCCCTAAAAAACACGAATAGACCACACAGCAAAGCGTGCGCTCGGGCGCATGCTTTGCTGCTTTGCGCCCTGATCGAAAGGGTGCTTTTTTCGAAGTGGTCTGCCGTTTGCAATCATTCATTCCGAAGACGCTACCCGCGCAATGAAACCTCTCTAGAGGGAGTCCAAGAATGAAGAAGCACCCCTATCAACCTGGAACAGACAAGACGCGTCGCATGGGTAAGCACGCGCTCTCACTGGCTGTTGGATTGGTTCTATTTGGCGCTCCAGCGCTCACTTTCGCGCAGACGGGCGTGGACGACGATCGCGTCAGCTTGCCGGAAGGTCCCGGCTCGCTCGAAGGTGTCGGCGAGAACATCGAGATCGACCCGAACATGGGTTCGATGCGTTACTCGGTTCCTATCGCCGTGCCAAAGGGTCTCAATGGCCTGACGCCTTCGCTCGGCTTGAATTACTCGTCCTCGGCAGGCTCGTCTGTGCTCGGCGTCGGTTGGACCATGCCGATGATGAGCATCGAGCGCATGACCATGCGCGGCACGCCAGAGTACATCCCCGAGGATTACTTCGCCGCCAATGGCGGCGACGAGCTCGTCCTCATCGAATCAGCCGATGGTAAGCAGGTCTACCGCGAGCGCTTCGAGGGGAGCTTCGTGCGTTACACCTGGCACGATGTGGGTGATGGGAAGGCGGGCTACTGGGTCGCAGAGTATCCTGATGGCACGGTGGGTTATTTTGGCGCGGACTCGAGCGGCAACATCGTCGCTGACGCGCGGAGCGAGAAGACCACCGGAGGCGGAACCTACAAATATCACCTCGTCGAGAAGGTCGATCCCTACGGTCACAAGATCGTCTACGAATACGACAACTACGACAGCAACTGGCCGCTCGTCTCCTCGATCTCGTATGTCTACGATCAGAGCACCGGAGAGCCGGTCTATCGCGTGACGTTCGATTACGAGGATCGCGATGATTTGCTCAGTGATGCGGGCGCTGGATACGAAGAGCTACTCACCAAGCGCCTGACCAATGTCCAGGTCACCTCGCGCTCGAAGGTCGTGCGCGAGTACGTCCTCTCGTATGAAGCGAGCGATGACTCGGGCGGCTTCAGCCGCCTCTCGAACGTCAAACGCTATGGCGTGGGCGGTGAGTCCTCCGGAAAACTCTATCCGATCGAGTTCACCTTCGGTTACTCCAACGCGCTCGGCGTGGCCTGCACTGGTAATAGTTGTGATTCGCCCTACCTCGTGAATATGGGCACTATCCAGGGCGCGAGCGGTCTGGCGACCGGCAAGGCGACCTTGCTCGATATCAACGCGGACAGCTTGCCGGATATCCTCGATACGAGCGAGGCGGGCGCGCACAAGATCATGCTCAACCGCCTCTCCTTGCAGGATGGCGGCGTCATGCACACCTTCGACGCGCCCTCGAGCAGCGCGATGGGGACAGGCAGCAACTTCGGGCTCGGCAACGAGATCACGCAGGTGCTCGATGTCAACGGCGACGGGCTCTCGGATCTGGTCAACGCCTCTTCGGGAGCGACCATCCTGGCGGGTTATGGCCTGACGGACTGGAACGGCACGGGCTCCTCGCTCGACACGCAGGTGTTGCGAAACATCAACATCTCCGAGGCGAAGTTCCTCGATTACAACAATGACAAGCGCATCGACGTGATGACCTCCACCGGGGACACGACGATCGTCTACGAGAACATGGGCGATTCGTTCCAGGCGCGCACCGTCGATCCTATCGGCGTGCCGCTCTCGGATTCTCAGACTGTCCAGCTCGCGGATATGAACGGCGACGGTTATAACGACGTCGTCGAAATCCAGGCGGGCGGCGCCATTCGCTACCGCCTCAACTATGGCTGGGGCAAGTGGTCGGCGTGGCGAAACACCACGGGCGTGTCGATCGACCTCTCCGAGCGCGAGCTCGTCGATCTCGAGGACGTCAACGGCGACGGCATCAGCGATGTCGTCGTCGTGACGGCCACACAGGTCAAGTACGCCATCAACCGCAACGGTGACCGCTTCGATCCTTTCGTCACGGTCGCCTCGACCAACATCGTGGGGAACCTCCCCGAGCGCCAGATGGGGGACAAGGTCCTCTACGCGGATATGAACGCCAACGGAAGTGAGGATGTCGTCTGGTTCGACACCTCCGGCCAGGTTCAATACCTCGAGCTCTTCCCCACGCGTCCAAACCTGTTGAGCCGTATCGACAATGGCATCGGCTTCATCCAGAAGATCGACTACACGACCGCGGCGCTCCAGGAAGCCACCGCGCGCGCTGAAGGCGAAGCCTGGGATACGACGCTCTCGATCCCGATGAATATCGTCGCCCAGACGGACACCTTCGTCACGCTGACAGGTGAGGAGGATGGGAGCGGTCTGCACGAGATCGCGACCTACACCTATCGCGATGGCTTCTACGATGGTGTTCAGAAGCAGTTCCGAGGCTTCGAGACGGTCACCAAGGAGATCCTCGCCAGCGATGCCCAGGAAGGCGGCATCACCGTCATGACCTACAACCTCGGCAAGGACGAGCCGCACTACAACGGCTTGCTCCTCGAGCAGACGATCATGAGCGGTGGTCGCGTCATCCGAAGAGAGAGCAACACCTACGAGACTTGTGATCTCTCGCAGGTTCCAACCCCGGACACGCTGCTCGCCCAGGATCGCTTCGCCATCTACTTCCCCTGCATGAAGAGCATGTCGACGGTCATCGAGGAGGGCGCACCCCAGGCTGACTGGGTCACCACGATGGTCGACTACGACTACGATGGCTATGGCAACATCACGCTCACCACGGATCATGGCGTCGTCGGTCAGGATGGCGATGAGGCGTACACCGAGACCGAGTGGTACGAGCCCGGCGATGGCAGCGCGTGGTTTTTGAGGATGCCGCTCGTCGAGCGCAATTGGAACACCGCCGATGGTTCGGTCAAGACCGAGGTGACCACTTACTACGATGGCAGCGCGTACATCGGCCAACAGGATGAAATCACGCATGGTTTCATCACTCGCAAGACGACCAAGGCCGATGACAACACGCTCATAGAGACGCTGCGCCAGCGCCGTGATTTGCACGGCAACGTCATCGAGTCGATCGATCCCAACGGCGAGGTCGCCGATGATACGACACATCGCCGTCGCTACATCTACGATGACCTTGGCCTGTTTTTGACCTACCTCGACATTATCATCGCCGAGGATCATGTCCTGCGTCGCTCGACGCAGTACGAATACGACTTCCAGAAGCTCGTGGACGTGACCGACTGGGTGCTCATCCAGGGTGGCCAGGAGGTCTCTTCGCGCAACGAGCAGCACTACGAGTACGATGACTTTGGCCGCATGGTCGAGCACTACAAGGCTGGTGATGGCGACAGCACGCCGACGTTCCAGTACACCTACGAGCTCGGAGAGCCCTTCTCGCGCATCATCGTGCGCAGCCGCAGCGAGCGAAATGGTCCGGTCGATGAGGAGTTCTACAAGTGCCTCGATGGGATGGGTCGGCTCTACCAGTCACGCAACAAGACCGACGAAGGGAAGTACCTCGTCACGGGCTTTAACGTCTTCAACAACCGCGGCGTGGCGGTGGAGACCTTCCAGCCCTACACCTCGGGGTCGCCAAATTGCGAATCCGAGCGCCCCGCGGGCGTCCTCTCTTCGCTCAAGAAGTACGACGCGCTCTTCCGCCAGATCGAGGTGAGCGAGCCGGGCGAGGATCTCTATGGCGAGCGACTTGTCAGCACCACGACTTACGCGCCGCTCCAGGAGATCTTGCATGACTTCGAGGATCTCGATCCTGAGAGCCCGCACTATGACACGCCAAAGATCAAGCACCTCGATGGGTTGGGCCGCACGGTCGCGTTCGAGCGTATGCTCGCAGGTGGCGAGTCGGTCGTGACAGAACTTCACTATGACGAGACAGGCAGCTTCTCCGGTTACACGGACGCGGAGGGCAACCGCCACGAGCTTCTTGTCGACCTCGCTGGCCGCGTGACTGCGGTGAGAAACCCGACCACCGGTGAATCGACGTTCACTTACGATAACGCGGGCAACATCACGTCGATGACGGATTCACGCGGCGTGACGACGAACTACGCCTACGATGGTGGTAACCGCCGCGTCGAGTTCTGGGATGCCGCCGACAAGGAAGGGACGCTTGTCAGCTACCACTACGACACGGTGCCAGAAGGTTGTGATATCACCGAGTGCACCAACCCCGCTAACCGCCTCGCGATGGTGACCTACCCCACGCCATTCGGCCAGGGTTCAGACCGCGTCGGGTATGACGCGCGCCAGCGCATCGTCTTCCAGGGACGCCGCCTCGGTGACGCGATCGATATGGGCACCAGGATCACGTTGGACAACCTCGATCGCGCCTTGAAGGTCGAGTTCTCCGATGGTCGCGTCTTCGAGCGAGAGTATGACGAGCTCGGTCGCGTGGTGGCTGTAAAAGGCTTGCTCGATAAGGTCGGCTACAGCGAGCGTGGCTTGCTCGACACCATCACCTACAGCAACGGCGCCTCGAGCGAGTCCGTCTACGACGCGCTCGCTCGCCTCGAGGCTCGCATCAACAAGGACGCGGGTGGGACGATCATCGACGGCATGGTGTTGAATCGCGATCGCGAGGGCAACATCCAGAACATCGAGGACATGGGCGAGCTCGGGATGAGCTATCAGTCGAGCTTCGAGTACGACGCCTGGTATCGCGTCATCTCCTCGACCCAAAAACATGGCGCCCAGGAGGAGACGATGACCTACACGTTCGACATGGTCGACCGTCTCACCGCCGCGGCTTCGAGCCTCGAGGCGGAGAGCGCCGCGCATGTCGGTGATTACGCCTACGACGCCGAGCGCCCGCTGCTCCCGACCACGGCGGGTGGCATCTCGCTCGGGTTCGACGCCACAGGCCAGCTCACCAAGCGCGATGGCCTCGAGCTCGAGTGGGACTTCATGAACCGCATCGTCCTCGCGAAGCAGTTTGGCGAGCAAGAGCAGCACGTCTACGGCTCGGAGAAGGCGCGCGTGGCGATCATCGGCGAGGACAAGCTCGACTTCTACGGCTTCGGTGACTTCGAGGTTCGCGACGGCGTCTCCTCGTTCTATGTGCGCCTCAACAGCGAGCGCCTCGCAAAGACCATCGACACCTCGATGATGACGGCGATTTACGAAGACAAGGATGGTGACGCGATGATCACTTCGGTGGATGCGTGGATGGCTATCGAGGAAGGAAGCGAGGGCAAGATCACGCCAGAGCATGTTTTGGGAGCAGCCGCAGCGCGCATGCTCGCTGACGAGGGCGACGAGGCGACGATGTTGCACACCGACTACATGGGGAACATCGTCTCGGCGACGGATATGGGCGGCGAGGTCATCGGCCACAGGAGCTTTAACACCACTGGCCTCGTGCGCTCGGAGACGGGCTACGTCGACCGCTACGGCTTCACCAACCAAGAGCACAACGACTTCACGGGCCTCATCCAGTTCAAGATGCGGGACTTCGATCCTCAGATCGCGCGCTGGGCATCCTTTGACCCCGCGTTCGTGAAGCCAGATGTCGCCGCGATGAGTTCGCTCGGTGAGGCGACCACGGGCTATGCCTACGTCTCCAATAACTTCGTCAACAACGTCGACCCCACTGGTTTGGGGCAGACCGATAAGAAATCCGGGAACAACAGCAATAACAGTCAGAAATCTGGCAAAGGTGACAAGGCAAATAACAACAAGGACAACAACAGCCGTGAGCGCTCCAACTCCGATGACAGCGTCATGGGGAACGGCCTGAATGCGACCCCTGGCGGCTTCCAGCCCGACGCCAAGAGCGCATCTGCACAGGATACGCTCGCTTCCAACTCGGCAGCTGGGGCAGGTGGTGATGACTACTCCAAGATGATGAACAACAGCGGCTTCGAGATGAGCAACAATGGCGTGGATAACACCGGCAAGAGCTTTGGTGACCTCGCGTCATCAGGTAGCCCTGATGTCGCCAAGGCAATGAACAACCTCGCCGACGCGGTGAACAAGAACACGGCGGCCAACAAGAAGCCTGATCCCAAACCGACCACCAAGGGAGACGTCGCCGCGTTCATCGGCGCCGTGTCGCTGATGACGGTCGGCTCGCTCGCCGCAGCCGACGGCTTCGACATGAGCTTCGCCCCGACGGACCTGTTCAGCTTCTGAACCCGAACCTGGTGCCAGGTTTTTACCCTCGAGGGTAAAAACCTGGCACGCCAAATGCAGTAATTAGTAAATGAGACGCAGAGCTCCATAAAAGAGGAAAAAATGACCATGAAACGCATCATACTCCGCCAAATTGGCCTGCTCGCGACAGTCGCGCTCTTCACAGCAACCGGTTGTGGAGGTTGCGGCGGCGACAACAACGAGAACCAAAACCCGAACAACACCGAGAACAACACGACGCCAAACAGCACCGCCAACAACACCACGGCGTGCACCGCTGGCGAAGTTGGTTGCGCATGCGATGCGGATGGCGGCTGCGCGGAAGGCGCAGCGTGTAGCGGCGGGATGTGTGTCGGCGCGGCGACAAGCGGCCTGAGTGTCTCGAGCGACCTGGCCCGATCCTGCGAGATCCTGCTCGAGGAGAAAGGTGGCAAGGTGCTCGGCGCGACCTACGGCGAGGGCGTCAAAGGCGCGCTCCGTCGCCAGTCGCCAAATGTCGCGATCGCCATCTCGGCATCGAGTGATGCGGCCTTCCCCGCGTCCGTAGCAAGTATTCAGATCGAGGGTGACGCCACCACCGTAGGCGTCAAGGAAGCGCGATGCTTCGACGCCGCCGGTGACGAGATCGGCGACGCAGAAGTCACCCTCAAGTGATGCGAGGCGTTCTCATCGGGCGTGTGTGAATCGACATCACCCACTCCACGCCACACACGTTCGATGAGAACAATTCGCTACAAAAGGAGGAGAGCTGCGAGCAGCTCTCCTCCTTTTGTTTTGGCATATGGCTAAAAGTGGCAGGCATGCCAGATTTTCCGGCGAGGTGTTCATCCTTTCCGATCCCCCACCGACACACAAAAGCATCTCCTTTCCCCTCGGGTGCCTCACGCGCACGCGATAAGGGGAGATGGGAGAAAAACTCTTTTTTATTGGCATGCTGGCGCGAGGATTGCTTCGAAAGGTCTACGAGTCAATCTATCGGTCCGCTGACCTCTGAATGTCAAACCCTACAAGGTCCTCAACCATGAAACACAACACGTACTGGATAGCCCTGTTGTTGGCCGTTTTGTTCGTGACGGGATGTTCCAAGAGCGAGAACAACAATCCCTCCGACGACACACAACAATCCTCGGTCGCCTGCGTCCGCGGTCAACTCAACTGCGCCTGCGACGAGGGCCAGGTCTGTGGCCTCTCCGACGATGGCGAGCAGCTCGCCTGTATCCTCGGCATCTGCGAACAGGTCCCTTGCGAGGCTGGCACGGCTGGCTGCGCGTGTGACTCTGGTTCGTGTGGCGACGGCCTCACTTGCACGGACACCTCGGGCGTCGAGCGCTGCGAGGTCGACGGCTGCGAGCTCGGCGCAGAAGGTTGTGGCTGTCAGCTCGACCGAAGCTGTAACGCTGGACTCACCTGTCAACAGGGCACCTGCCAGGCGCTCGACTGTACCGTCGGCGCTCAGAGCTGCGCGTGCTCCAGGAAGTTCACCTGCGAGAGCGGCCTCGATTGCGAGCTCGACACCCAGAGCTGCGAAGCCACCGAGGAGCCGACCTGTACAGCAGGCAACCTCGGCTGTGAGTGCAAGTCTGGTGGCTCGTGTGTTTCTGGCCTGAGCTGCCAGGATGGCATCTGCGATGACCCCTCCTGCCCTGCCGGGCTCGAGGGTTGCGCGTGTCAGGGCGAAGCTTGTGGATTTGACAATGACGGCAACCAGCTCGAGTGCACCAGCGGGATCTGCCAGTCGAGCGACTGCCCCGCAGGCGACAATGGCTGCGTTTGCATCAACGGCACAGACTGTAATGACGAGAGCGCCGAGTGTAAGAGCGGCTATTGCAAGTCGACCGAGTGCATCCCTGGAGCGGTCGGTTGCGATTGCCTCGCGGGCAGCTGCAACCCTGGGCTCGAGTGCGAGGATGACTCGGTATGCGTGGACAAGACCGGCAAGAAGGGCGGGCCGTGCTATGACAATGGCACCTGCGAGCGCAACAACCGCTGCGATGACTCGGTGCTCCCCGCCGTGTGTGTCTACTGTGACCTCGGGACAATTGGCTGCCAGTGCCAGGATGACGAGTCTTGTTTGCCAGGTCTCTCCTGCGCGATGGGACACTGCGTGGGTGACGAGACGGTCCAGGACCGCGAGCCAAACACCGACGCCGAGTGTCAGACGCCCTGTACGGAGAACCTCGTCGATGAGAATGGCACCCGCGCGTGCGTCGATGGGTTCATCGAGGGTTGCGTGGATGACCTCGTCTGCGACAAGAACTCCTGCGTGAAGCCCGACTCCGAGGCTGAGATCTGCTTCACCGATTCGGACTGCCCCTCCTTCCAGCTCTGCATGCAGGGTTACTGCTACATCGAGTGTAGCTCGGATGTGGAGTGCGAGAGCGGGACATATTGCCAGGACAAGGTCTGCCGCACGCCATGTTCGCTCGACTCGGGCGGCTGTGATGCAGGTTACATGTGTGAGTCTGACAATGGCGAGACGGGCTACTGCATGAGGAACTCCTCGTCGACGGGGACGACCTCGTCGGCGCAGGACGGTGGCTTCGAGCTCAGCCTGACCGAGATCCCCTTCACCAACACGCGCATCTCCACCGAGGTCATCCTCTACAACAACACCGATGACTACGTGAACTACACCTTCCGCAAGGTCGAGCACGACGTGCTCTACACGGACGGGAGCAGCGACAAGGTCAGCGATTACGAGGAGAACTCGAGTTGCTCCGGGCCAAGCTGCCCGATGTGGTGGGTCGAGGTCGGTGAGTTTGGCAAGATCAGCGGTGACCGCGAGGTCACCGTGCGCGCCAACCCGAACTGTCGCGAGGATTGTCCTCGCATCACCGTTCGCATCGCGAGCAATGGCGCGGCCATCGACGCGACGCGCTGGCGCGGCGTGATCGAGGTCCAGTCCGAGGTCGGCTCGGACCGTATCGACCTCTCCTACGTCTCCTCGCCGCAAGGTCGCTGGGCGGGCAGCATGGTCTACTTCGCGAACTTCGAGTCACAAGGTATCGACACGGACGGCGCGATCACGGGCTGGCTCGACAAGGCCAACCGCGATGACGTCAGCGGCGTGGCAAACGGCCTCATTCAGAAATGGGGCGCCTTCCGCACGGGTGGCTTGAGCGGCGGCTGGACGGAGATGAAAGCAGTGCTTTCGGCGACGCGCTCGGGCGCGTGGCAGTGGCCTTCGGTGACCTCGGACTGTATCGCTTCGGCGGGTGCTTGCTACCTGTTCGATTCGGGCGGGGGCGCGGTGCCCAAGGTCTACGTGACCTTGCTCGACGGTGCTCCTATCCCCACGGGCGTCTCCGAGTTCCCCATGGCGATCAACATCTATCGCCCTGACGAGACCAACTCACCCGAGCACCTGGAAGGTCGCGTCGTGACCGAGACGGCGTTGCATTACGCCGATGACCCAAAGATCGAGCTCACCTTCGATGGCGACCCCGCCGACACGGGGAGCTGTGATCCGAGCATCACCTCGAACTGCGTGAACTTCATCGACGACCTCGACCTCAAGGTCAAGGTCGGCGGCCGCTATGACCTGCCCTCGGGCCAGAGCAGCTGCGTGGCGGGCTTCGAATACGTCGAGCGCCCATGGCTCGTGCCTGGCTTCCTCGACAATGCCTACGAGGACTCGCTCTCCGGCCTCTACCGTCGCGGTCACTGCGTCGATGGAAGGCTCCCCTTCTACCCCGTCGGCTCGGCAGAGGAGCTCACCGCGAACACCAACCTCGCGCGCTCCAACCCGATCCCCAACGGCAAGGTCCTCGACCGCGAGGTCGAGATCCTCGATGGAGCGATGATCGACCAGACCGAGATCATCATCCTCTTCCGCGAGCGCTTCCCATCGTTCCTCAACGACGATGACGTGATGGCGTACGGCTACATGGTGCTCAAGCGCCAGGCGGTCCAGGTCGAGGAAGATGATGATGATGCCGATGGCATCCCTGACCAGTACGAGGCGGCCACGCCGCCCGAGAACCTGAGCGAAGGGACGATGCAGACGGCGGTGACGTGCTCGGAGGATGTGCTCGACGAGATCCTCGGCACCAACGTGTCGCTCAACTCGACGAACGCTCCCGACGCGATCCGCACGCTTATCAATGGCGGCACGCCCTCGGCAGCGAGCATCATCACGCCCGGTGGCGTCGAGGAGGTTCACTACCTGTGCGAGGACACTGGCCTCTTCGACGGCGGCCCGGATAACTCGGCTGATTGGGACGAGGGCTACAACGGCCCTAACAACGACAACTGCGCCACCGCCGCCAACGGGATCTGCGAGGATGGCGAGCTCAACTCTTCGGCGTCGACGTGCGCGACCGGAACGGACGTGACCGATTGCGGCTGGCGTTACTCGGATACGCGCGTTGCCTGTCCTTCGAAGAGCAAGGTCATCTACTTCACGGCCAACAGCAACCTGTTGCCAAACATCCATAACGAATCGTGCCAGGATACGGGCACCTGCATGGATCGACTCAATAACTGGATCTCGAGCGGTAACCCGATCGTGATGCAGGTCGATCCCAAGTGGACCTGTGAGGGCGAGTCGGTCTTCTGTGACTCCAACGAGCAGGATCGCCGCGAGGGCAAGGTCTTCTACAAGGCTGGCGCTTCGGACATCACCTTCCTCGGTCTTCGCGCCGAGATGGCGGATGCGTTCCGTTACAAGACGCGCTTCCTGAGCCGTGATGGGACCTCGTCGGTCGGCTTCAGCCCTTCGATCTGCGTCCCGTTCTCGACGACCACGCCTTACTGCTACGACCCGGAGAAGATCGAGGGGCTGCGCGATCGCATCGACTGCCTGCTCTACATCTATGACTCCTACTATGACTCGTTCAACGGCAGCCAACGCGACGCCTCCGACGAGCTCTACGAGTACCTCGAGGAGAACTTCTCCTACCGCGAGGAGCCAAATCCTCTCGGCGGTCTCCCCACGACCTACGATGGCTTCGAGCGTCTGTATGCGGAGCTCCTGATCATGCTCGGCGACGAGGCCTACA